ACTCTTGGACTACTCTTTTACCAACGAATAGTGGGATTGACCGTCACATTATAACGCCTACACCGCTGAAAGGGCAAGTATGTTTGGCGGGATGGGAATTCGAACCCGCGACCCTCAGATTGCGAGTCGAATGCCATAACCACCTGGCCATGCCGGGCCATGTAGTCATGTGTATTATTGGTTGTAAACGAAAGACTGCTGTAAGTGGTAATGCGTAGTACCGATTGTAAACGAAACAATGCTGCAAGTGGTAATGTGTAGTACCGGTTGTGAACGAAACAATGCTGCAAGTGGTAATGTGTAGTACCAGTTGTGAACGAAACAATGCTGCGAGTGGTAATGTGTAGTACCGGTTGTGAACGAAACAATGCTGCAAGTGGTAATGTGTAGTACCGGTTGTAAACGAAACACTGCTGCGAGTGGTAATGTGTAGTACCGGTTGTAAACGAAACAATGCTGCAAGTGGTAATGTGTAGTACCAGTTGTAAACGAAACACTGCTGCGAGTGGTAATGTGTAGTACCGGTTGTAAACGAAACAATGCTGCGAGTGGTAATGTGTAGTACCGGTTGTAAACAAAACACTGCTGTGAGAGGTAATGTGTAGTACCGGTTGTAAACGAAACACTGCTGCGAGTGGTAATGTGTAGTACCGGTTGTAAACTAAACACTGCTGCAAGTGGTAATATGTAGTACCGGTTGTAAACGAAACACTGCTGCGAGTGGTAATGTGTAGTACCGGTTGTAAACGAAACACTGCTGTGAGAGGTAATGTGTAGTACCGGTTGTAAACGAAACACTGCTGCGAGTGGTAATGTGTAGTACCGGTTGTAAACGCAACACTGGTGTGTGTGGTAATGTGTAGTAGCGGTTGTAAACTAATGAATGTACGTGTGGAAATGTGTAGTAGAGATTGTAAACTAAAACTGTTACTTGTGGTAATGTGTTTTATGTTTACTTACAATTAGAATGAATGTAACTATCCTACCAAAAGTCATGAGACACGGGTAGATGAATAAAACGTCTTTATGCGCAGAAATTAATAGCGTGTTGTCCCGCCTTTGGCCTTAATGACTGCTTCAATGCGTAGTAGAAAACTGTCTACTAATTTCTGGTATAAAGCTGGTGGTATTATGCTCCAGTTCTCCTTTAAAGCATTAGTAAGCTCCACTACTGAAGAGGGCAATATTGGCCTTGCCCTAATTCTGTGTTCCAGTTCATCTCTTCAAACCTTGCATTCACTATCCTTGCTGTGTGACATGGAGCGTTATCATGTTGGAAGGTGTAAGGTTCGGTACCATAAAATTGACACAATGTATGACTCAGCATTTATGGATCCATGAACTGCGACCAGTGGATCTCGTTCACACCACGAGAAGCACCCTCCAGACCATGATACTGCCACCTCCAAACTTTACTGTTGGGATAACACACTCAGTTAATAAGCGTTCTCCAGGCATCTTCCATGCCCAAATACCTCCATGAGACTGGAAGAGCGTGTAGCGTGACTCGTTGCTCCACAGGACCGATCTCCATTGATCTACGGTTCAGGTTTGGTGTGCCTTGCCCAATGCTAATCAAATGGAGTGCATTTGTTTTCTTATCAACGGCTTGTGGGCTGCAGCTCTTCCGTGAAAATACATGGCATGCAGCTCTCGACGTGTCGTAGAAACACTTGTAGGACTGTCTGTGGCTGCTCACATCTCCAAACACAGATTCTCTAGGGTCTGACGGCGAGATTAGGTAACCAGCCTTCTCAAGGCGCGTCGGCTCCTGTCAGTCAATATTTTACGCCTATCTGGTCGTTTCTTCAGCACGTTGCCAGTTGTCGACATGGGAATGTTTAATTGTTGCGCAATAGCACGTACAGACATTTTTCACAAATGACACCCAACTCTCCCTCTGAAACTCTGATAGCTCTTTCCGCATACTCATCGTTCGGCGTACAAGTTCGAAATGACATCCAAGCGAACCGTTGATCACCTTTATATTTTGTCGTCACACCCATTTTCCTGCAATCAGATGTGTGTCCCATGACTTTTGGTAGGACAGTGTATATTAAGTCGTTGTTGTGACAATACTTTTAGGAGAAACATGTCTTTCATAGACGGTTTATTACTCAGTAGTTTTTGAGTCAGGTAGGCTTACATCAATAAACCCCCAACATGTAAAGAATTAGTGGTTACAATAGTGTGATACTTTATTATGTAGACCATACCAACATTAATATGGTACTTTAGAGTGTAATAAACGATAGGTATCTGTTGTAACACACCGTCTTTCGTACAGTTTTCAGATAGCTGTAGTAACTTTTACTGTCAGTTATAATACGTTAATGGTTCATACAACTTAAAAGTCAAAGTTATTAAATAATTGTAGTAACACTTACTATCTGTTGTAACACACCGTGTTTGGTAGAGTTATCAACTAGCTGTAGTAATGCTTGCTGTCTGTTGTAATACGTTATTGGTTCGTACAGCTTTGAATCAAAGTTATCAAATACGTGCATTAACACTTACTGCCCGAATATATTATGACTGAAGTTACTTAACAGCTGTTGTTTTATGTTTAGAATAGTTTACAACCGAATGTTTTAAGTGATTGTAGCAATATTTAATGTATAATTTTTTTAAACTAAAGCTGACTTAATAAAACCCCTACATTACTGGCTTCCTCATTGGCAAAGCGAATAGAACCAGAATTTCTAATCGTAAAATGTTACTGTATTGTATAGTCATAAAAGTAGTATTTTAAGCTAGCTAAAAGAAAGGTAGGATAATGAAGGCTGAAATTTATTTAATCATAAAGCTTTCGATAGACAAAGGGGGAAAGCCAGTAATGTAGAGATTTTATTCTCCATATAAAGTCGAGACAGTCTACTATGTGATCATCAGCCGATCAAGTGATACGTCCACTTCCATCCCTATCTTATTTGGTTCCTTTTATTTCAAGTTCAGTAGCCAGCCCTACATAGCTTTTTTTAGCGATAATCTTTCCCCTAATTCTTGTAATTCTAATAAGGCATTGTGTCCAATGCAATTCACAACAAAGAATTTTAGCTAACTGTAAAATTGCTTTGTTATTAAAGAATTTATATAAATAATTATTGTTTCAAAACAATGTTTGAGTCATAATGGAAAGTTGTTGTTTTTTCACATCACCAGAAAAATCCTGTTTTTTTTTTCAGAGTATTTTTTGGAGAAAGCAAATGGATGTCGAGTTTTTAAGAGAAGATTATGAACCGCCTGACGTGTGTATTAATTATTTTCTTACGTTTTCTATTTATAGCTTTTCTAAAATTATACAAATATATACCAAATGGGTTAATTTAAAAAGGTTTAACTGTAAAAAATAACTTTAATGATGAGTTACATATTAACTACAAACATAGTTAATTCCTGATTGATTGGTTTGTTTTGAATTTCGCGCAAAGCTACACCAGGGCTATCTGCGTTAGCTATTCCTAATTTAGCAATGATAGGCTAAAGGGAAAGAAGATAGTCAACCCCACCCACCGCCAACTCTTGGGGTACTCTTTTGCCAACGAATAGTGCGATTGACCGTCACATTATGACGCCCCCACAGCTGAAAGGGCGAGCATATTTGGTGTGACAGGGATTCGAAGTCGCGACCCGCAGATTGCGAGTCGAGCGCCACAACCTAACCTTGATTGAATTAATTATAGAAATTAAAATTATAAACAGCTAAAATGGGATTGTAAAATAACATCATACAATACAACCTAACCTTGATTGAATTAATTATAGAAATTAAAATTATAAACAGCTAAAATGGGATTGTAAAATAACATCATACAATACAACCTAACCTTGATTGAATTAATTATAGAAATTAAAATTATAAACAGCTAAAATGGGATTGTAAAATAACATCATACAATACAACCTAACCTTGATTGAATT